TTCAAATCAAAGCGGGATCAGGAGGTAGAGAGAAGTAAACACTATGTAGGGAACATGTCAGTCAGAAAACAGCTTTCTTTTTAACGCGCTGGTTATCTAAATCTGGTGTGTTAAACAAGAGAGACTTGCAAAATGTGCAGAGCAGTGGGTCGTGAGGAAACAGATTTACAACCATCGCTCTAGCTGATAAAGAAATAATACACTTCTGCTTTTCTTCTTCTTCCCATTTTATTAACAGTCATGCATTTTTGAAGCATGAATAATACATCACATTGCAATGTACATTGTCCCATGTGTTTATGGAATCTTTGTAAACAAACACAGATTCTGGAAAATCACTGCAGTGTTAATGAACACTATCAAGCTAGTTTCTTTGTGAAGGGGGATTATATTTACGTACTAGAGCACAAATTGCTGAGTGGTGTTAAAAATAAGAGCGTTGATCTTCTCTGCAGAGGTTAAAACACAACATTACGCAATAATTTGCCTCATTTCACGAGCTGTCTTTTTGCCAGATTGTATTCATACATATTACAAGAAAGAGTTGAGAGTTCCGAGACTTACAGGATGTTTTTATGGTACAATGGCCTTTTAAATGTCAAAGGATAAAGCGAATGCTGATTTCTCAGTTTATGAGCTTTCTTATGTTCTTCTGGAGAAAAAAAAGTCACCTGAGGGTAAGCAAATTAACAGCGAGTTTTCTCTTTTAAGCTTTCATTATGTGGGCGGTCAGGGACAGTATTGATGTTGGCGTGCTTGCTGTCAAAGGGTTTACTGCATGATATGTTGCTATGAGCATGAGCTTCGAAGGTTTAAAAAATGCACCTCATTATGATTATGATATGATGGGTGGGGATTATGGGTTAGGATTATGTCGTTTTAATAGCAACTGAACTCAGGATGTAATCAAAGGTGGATACTTAAAAGATTGCACCTTAAAATATTACTATTGGGATATATTTCAATATAAAATCAATCATATGAATGAAATAGCATAGTTTTATTTGAGTAGTGTCTTTGTGTCTGTAGTTTGCTGTAGTCTTTTGGATGAGAGGTTAGACAAAGCTCCTCATATTCTGAGGTCATTAAAATCCCATGACACTTCTCGTAAAGAGCAGGGGTTTAACTAGGGATGGGTATCATTAGGGTTTTAATGGTATTACGACTTTTATCAATACCACTTATCGGTTCAATACTTTAACGGTGCTTCAGTGTCAACGCTTGACTGAAGGACGGTCTGAAGTTGTGGCTGACGCGATCGTCATAGCAGCGTCAGCCAATGAAATCAAGTCAGCAATAGGCCACTGTCTAGCTAGTGTATTTGCATATAGCTATCTGATTGGCTGAAGCTTCCGACTGCGCTTGAAAAGTTGAGCTAGTCCCAACTTCTGCAGTGAGCAACGCCTCTGAAGCGGCGCCGATGGATCCACAATGCAGTTTGGCAACGCCTGACGTCACCCATTCTAAGTGAATCGGTACTTTTTGTATCGTATACCTATACCAATAATTGTGAAACAGATAAATTTTTTTTCCTGTAAAAGAAAGTACAATGGTTTGAAGGAAAATTATGGTTTTTAACAATCCCTCTGGATATAAATCAACATGTTTGACTTTTCTGGTAGAAGTCAGGATCTTTGTTGGTTTCTTTGCTCCTTGCAGTTAAAAAAATACCCTCTTTAAGTTATGCAGTTAAATGAGATAATGTTTATGAATTTTCATTAACGCATTCACATAAATGAGTTAATAGTGTTTCGGGAGTTTTGGAGCATCTTGCAATGTAAAAATAAGCAGTTTTTTTTTATAATTTCTTAATAAGAGTATAGTTATTATTAGGCTATTCACAGGCTATTTTTGTAAATACGGCTGATGTAAAAGCAGTTGTAATGTTTAAGATTTATTTAGGCTATAATATATTAATATTATACAAATTTAGGTGATTGACTGCTGGCATAATGATGAGATTTAAAGTTACCATTAGCAGCTAGGCAGTCAAAAACTTTTCATTTGTCTTTTGCAACGGGCATTGTCGCTGTCCACTGAGGAAATACAGCACGTTTGACTCACTCCGCAAGCTTATGAGCTGTGTGTGCGCGAGTCTGTGTTACGAGCTACATGTATGTGTGTGCTACTGTAAGTAATGTTTATACAGCAACAATTCTCCAGTACCGATAGCAGAACTGTTAACATCAGAGCTTATCGATACTTCAGTCTTTTTCAATGTAGTACTGATATCGATTAAGTATAAAGTTTTGATACCCATTCCTAGGTGTAGCCCTGGTGTCATTGCCAAATTCCCTCTATCAGTCTTTACCGATCATAGCCTCCCAACCATCCACACCCACCAGAATTGGCTCTATGACTATCTCTCATTATTTTGCTTTAGCAGATTATGTGACAAAAATGGGTGCATTTAATGGACAAACCAGCGGCTCGACCACATTGTAAAACATCTGAAATGTTGTTTAGGTCATTCTAAATTCCTTTATCCAAAGTCTGTCATCAAAGTGGTTTGGTATTAAAACCTTCCAGAATTGTCTTGAGCATCTGAGCTCCCAAAGACCATTTTATGCCTCCAAATGACACAGAACGATGCATTTCGGCTTTCATCAAAGTAATTTGATACACAAGAAAAAAGGCCCACTTTGGCTTCTATAACAGCAAATTCCATATTTCCTGTTGACATTTGGTGGTAGTTTATCAGGAAGCTTATTAGACATGTTTCCATCCAAAGATGTGAACAAAATTGGCACTTCCTATATATATATATATATATATATATATATATATATATATATATATATATATATATATATATATATATATATATATATGTATGTATGTATGTATGTATATATATATATATATATATATATATATATATATATATATATATATATATATATATATATATATAAAAAGAAAGCTGCTCTATTAGGAGAAGGCCGTATATAATAACTAACTTGATTCTTAGAACACGTAGAAAAAATGCAATGTTAAGCCAAATAGTCTGGGTTTATGATATAACTTTGGAATCATCTCCATTCGCATTTCTTGGAAGATTTGCGTGTTTCGCTGATGTTTTCTAAAAATGTACGGACCTCATCGTCCACCCAAACATTTTGGTCACTTTCCACCATTTTTGTTTTCACATGATCTGTTGAAGCAAAGTCACATGACTTTTTGATGCGCATGGTGGAATTTATTCAGTAAATGCATTTACACTGTAGTTTATGCACATTTTTTCTATTCGGATAAATTGTTTATCCTACTCAGTTGTGCGCATAATTTTTTTTTTGTGTATTTTCAATATTCATGCACATCTAAGTGTTTCCATCCAGTTTTTTATTATGCTACATTCCAAAATTGCAGAAATATAGGTGAATTGAAACGTAGCTACTGACTCATTGGATGGAATAGGTGCTTTATTCGCAAACGTTTTATGCAGTATTTCAGATTTGAACAAACATCTAAGGGTGCTTTCACAATAGGTTCAATTGCCTGGACTGTACCCAAGTTCGATTTTCCCCCCTTTCTCCCTTCTTGGTTCATTTGTGTTCACATGTCTTTTTTCCTTCTGAACCCCAGTACGCTTGCAACATCGAGCTGCTGCTTTGTTTACGGCCATTGCTAGGTGACGGTCACGAAAGCAAAGCGGCAAAATGGAAAGATGTCCGTACATCATGGTCATACTGCTTTTACTGAAGCTTTTGGTTTTGGACATACAGAAAGCGAGTCGCGTCCATCTGCCGCAAAAAAATATTATAAAAATTCAGAACATCACACAGTGTCTGCTGAAGCTGTTTTTGGAGGAGACTAGCAAAAATTATCCTTCTGTTTTCCCTGGCTCAGTCCCACTTGTCACTAAGGTATGATACATGACACACACACACACAGACACATACACGAACGAACGTTATGAAAACGATAATTTGTTGTACAGTTGGCGGTTCACTTCCGTTATTTGGTACGATTGTATTCACATCAGAAGTGAACCGTACCAAAGTTCGCATGAACCATACCCCAGACCACCTCTTGGTGAACTTCGGTACGGTTCACAAGTGCGCACCCGAATTCAAAAGACATATTCACACTAGCTAAACGTACCGTACTATGACGTCAAACGAACCCGGGTGCGGACCAAAAGTGCTAGTGTGAAGCACCCTAATTCATCTCTTTGAATGGAAACATAGCTAGTGGCAGCTCCAATGGTGTGAGTATAGGGTGCGGCTATTAGTATACAGTGGAAATGGCTATATTTAAGACAACATGCTCTAATTATGCAATATACATTTAAGTTGTAATATGCATTAACAACTGTTGAGGCAAAAATGACTTCCATTTGAACTATATAAAATATATAATATAAAGAATATGTAACTTTTGCCACAAAATCACTATATTTCTAATAATACATGTTGACAGCTGCAAAAATGACTGATTTCAATGGAATTTCTGTTGATATTCAGTGATACTAAAATGACTTTAGTGTTTATTTCACACTAATGAAAACTGTCAAAGAAACCTACTGGCACAAATGATGTTTTTTCACATTGTTCTAATAATACAACACTAAAGCCAACATCATTTTTAGAGATTTTTTTTGCCTTAGTTTCAACATTGCAGTCACATCCATTATCGAAGGCCGCTCAACGGCGAATGCAACACAATCATCAGCCCTCGGCCACGGACTTGGATCATGTCCATTCCTGTCAGCCAAGCTATTGAATGTCACAATCTGACATTTGAGAACGGATCTTCAAGTAAACAAACACGGAACCAAAGATTTGCTCTGAGGTGGGGTGAGGGACAAGAACTACAAGATCTGGTTTCTTGATTTCCTCTGTCGAAATGATAATAAAAATAATAAAATGATGATAACAATCAGCCTAACACAGTGTTCAGTCTTACATAATACCAGCCATTCCCATCCAATTCAATGTAAGAACTTCTGGTAAAAGCAACAAACTTCAATTTAAAATAATAAAAAGAAATAGTTGTACCTGAAAAGGCGTTTGTCCTCGATAGTTCTTCACGTCTTTACTTGCACCGCGGACCAAAAGCACCCTGGCACACTTTTCCTTCAGAAGAAAAGCACAAGATTAACATCATCCAACTCTATCATAAGAAAAACAACAACAAAATTCTGCTGTTTTAATATCTCCAGCAAAAAAAAAAATCATTGACGCTCCCATCCTACCCGGATTCCAAAAGTGACTTGGAGATTAAATCCGAATGCATAAAGGAAGGGTCTCTGCAGTGATGCCTACAGTATGTGCATGTGTGAATGTGTATGTGCGAACTAAAAGCAGAAAGACAGAGAAAGAGCGAGCCTCTCCAGCCCACTATATCCAGCTGGATTCAACAGCCCACCCACGGAAAGCCTCACCACTAAACCAACACACACACAACATAACACACACACATACACACACCTCCATTGCCTTTTCCTCCTACCTTCCTTCTAATACTAGTTTCACAGCTGCTGCCAGTCCTTGTATATGAGGCATAATCACATGTGAGGATGCTGTTTCTGTTGCCTGTGCATTAAAATATCCCTGGCCTGTTTTTGGCACCGCTTGCAGGTTGATATGGTGACGGCGCGGTCGGGGTTTAAAATCGCAATTGAGGGCCGGTTTAATAACAGTTCGGTCCGGGGATGATCATTATAGGACAGCGCTTCAGATATGATCCTCACCGTATCATATGTGAACTTAAGAAGAGCCTCCATGAATCAATACTTGACATTTGTCTACGGCAGGGTCATTTCATTGGGTTCAAAATAAATGTTATTCTTCTAGCTGTACTGTAAGAGGGGGTGAGATAAGTTTACTGGTTTATAACTGCACATTTCATTGGATTGTAAAGCAAAATGAGGATGGAATGGTATATGATAAGCGGTCACACTTTACAGTAAGGTTTATGTATTTACTAAGATGAACTAAGAACGAAAAATGCTTTTACAATATTGATTAATTATACCGCAATATTTACAAAAGCAATATTAAATTCTAAATTTGCGCACATTAACCGCTGACTTATGAATTTATTTTCAATAACTAATGTTAACAAAGATGAATAAATACTGTAATAGATGTATTGTTCATTCTTAGTAAATATAATAACTAACATTAACCTAAAAAGTGTAAAGTGTTACTGGATAATCAGTAGTTTTTATTATTTAGTTCAATGTAAAGAAAAACAGAAAAATTGCAGAAAATTATTATTATTTTTTTTAAATATTTAAGAATGTCTTTATATTTTATTTTATATCATTCAAGTACTTGTCAGGTGCAATTTAATTTTGTGTAATTCTGTCTTTTTTATTATAAATTTTTTGTTGATCTACATAAAAAATGAGCATATCTGTCCATCCTCCCGTTTTTCCCGGTATTCTCTTATATTTTACAATTCTATCCCACTATTATCCTATAAAAGTATTTTCCCGTATTTCTCCCTTATATTTAATCTACCTATGAAGGGTGGCAATAAACATCAAAGAGCCAATTCCCCCCATGCGCAACCCATACCGCTGAACCACCAGGGGACGCCCCTTGCTCTTAAATGTAAATCTGTTCTGTGCTTTCATTTTATTTAGGCATGAAAACACTTTGAAATAAATATATAAATGGCAAAGTTCCCTTCCTTTCCATTACAGGTGCCGTTGCCCCTCTTATGCAGTCCTCAAAACTGTCAGTTCATATAGTGGTTCATATAGTGACTGTCAGACGTGCTACATATTGATAATTAGACAATATGCTTTCCAAAACAGATTCCGTACACGCGATTTGAAGCAGAGCTAAAGTGAACACTTTGGGTGCCTGTTTAAACAGACATATACACATACTACTACTACTACTAATAATAATAATAATAATAATAATAATATTGATAATAATAATAATAATAATAATAATAATAATATTTAAACTGTTGATCTTGGTGGATTTTCTGTTAAAAACAACAAATATTGTCTTAAATGAGCTTAAAAGTTAGAAAAACAGTCAAATTCTTTCGTTATATATCTGTGCAGTTTTAGAGTGACACCTCTGTTGTTTAATGTAATCAGGTGAAAAATATAAATGAAAGATTAATTCGCTACAGTTTAATCAGAGTGTTTAAACTATACAGTGAAGAAAGGGTTAATGAGATTTGATAAATTCATTAAATTTCTTTATAATAACGATTATTTTTAATAGGCTAAACTGTTGAATTTATTTGCAGCTGTTTGTAATGCATGCTATTTATTGTATCCTTTGTAAATAATAATAATATTACTGACTGCTTCAGCTGTTTATTTACAATGATAACACTTCAGATGAACAGGTTTAGAAATGTGGGGAATTTTCTTAGAAAAGGGGCGGTGGGTTGTATGGGGATCGCTTATTTTCACATCCCAATGTAGACAGGTATGAAAATGAAAAATATTTATTGGCACCTACAGAAAAAAAATCAATAATATAAGGTTTGTGTCACGATTGATGGTTGGGGAAAAAAGGGGCGAGGACCCAAGTGCAGCAAGTGGTGCTCGCTGCAGAGCCATTTGAGGAGAGGTGAGCTCCAGAGAGGGGGAGCTTAAGCTTGAGCTCCACCTTTTTTGCACTTCTTCTACGAGTGATGTCACTGGGGGTAGGGTTAGGGGTGGGGTTGGTGTACGCATTAAAACAGCTTACAGGAGGAGGAGCGACAGCTCATGCTCCCCCTCTCTGGAGCTCACCTCTCCTCAAATGGCTCTGCAGCGAGCACCCTCTCAAGTGCAGGGTAAATAAAGTATTTATTTATAATAAAACTAAAATAAAAGGCAAAAACAGCAAAACAAACTACCCCGAGGGGGAAAACATTAACAAAACAAATAAACAAACAAACCAAACTAGACTGGACAGGCTGGCAGGGATCAGGACTGGATCAGACACACGACAAGGTGATGTACAATGACGAACTGGCACAGGACAGCAGAGATGAGGGGATAATAAACTGTAGTAAATTAACACACAAACAGATGAACATAATTAACTAATAATGGATTAACAAAGAGGCTGGGACTAGACAATAGACGGGAGAGTGCATGACACAGAGACAACACAAGCCATGCGCTCACACAAAACAGGACAAGAACATGCAGCCAATGTGAGAACTCATTAACCGCATGTTCATGACAACACAAGCACAACACTGAAGCACACAAAAGCACGTGACCACAATGTAAACAGAGCCACATGCTTTGACAACAGACGCAAGACACGAGCACACGATAGATACACCTTACCGTGCGCTCACACATATGCAAAGCGCATGCTTCATCTCAGCGTCAACCAAAACCGAAAGCAACTAGACGAAGACGCTGAGAATGAAACAGCGGGATGCGCGTCCGAGGCGCGCTCTGCGTACACCCACGACGGCGCGCGCGCACACAGAGACACACACAATGACAGAAACAGGACAAGACAGGGCTAGTGTCCGGAGTCTACCACCAAAACAAGAATTCACAGAACCCTGACAGTTTGACAATTTAGTCAATTTCATTTTTATTTATTTATTTAAGTTTTTATTAGTTTAATTTAAAGCTAAGTTAAACTGAATTAATAAAAATGTGAAATTAGCAACTAGATATAATAAAGATTAACATTTATTTTTATTTTCGATAATTCTGTAGATTCAGAGATAATGCATATTATCTTTAATGGTATATTTTTGCATTTTAGTATCAATCAATTAACTAGAATAACTAGAATCAATTTTATTGAAAAAGTTGTCATTAAAAAAAATAAAAATAAAATAAAATAATAAAATAATAATATAAAAAATAGTAAATCAAAGTCTATGAGGGAGAATATTTCCTTCAATTTAATGTTACAGTATGTGCCTACTCTAAAATTACCACCTCAAAATATTAAACTCATAGGAAGAAACACATATTTCTCATCTCTTAAATCTTATATTTAAGACTACGGCCGAAAATACAAAAAAAAAAATCCAACAACATGAAACTAGTCTACACAACGGCTATGTGATCAATACGTCAATCTCCACAGCAAGAATATGATGTTTTACAGCGAGTGACAGTGAATTGAGCAGACAATGGCTCTGACAGAGCTGACGGAGCAGACTGGATCTCCCACAGCTGAAGCAGAAGGTGATTTTCTGCCTGGCTGCGCTCCGTCCTCGACGTAATGGCCCGTTGTCCATTCATAAACATTAAACACTGCTGCTAATAGTCATGAGCGTAACTGCTGATGCCAGGTCAGTGTGGGGCTTTGTTATGGACTGAGTGGAAGACAATGTGGAATAATGAAGAGTGTAATTAGTGGCATCGGTCACTGGCATGTAGACAAATTAGAGTCATTTCCACCCTGAACGATCACATATGATAAAACAAGAGAAAGATACATTCAGCATATATTTGTAAATGCCAGTTACCTATAAAATATTAATTTATTCATTCATTCATTTTCCTTTGGCTTTGTCCCTTATTTATCAGGAGTCGGAATGAACCGCCAACTATTCTTGCATATGTTTTAAGAAGCCGATGCCTTTCCAGCTGCAGCCCAGTACTGGGAATCACCCATACACTCTCACATCACACACTCATACACTAAGGCCAATTTTGTTTGCCCAATTCACCTATAGCGCATGTGTTTGGACTGTGGGGGAAACCCATGTGAACACGGGGAGAACATACAAATTCCACACAGAAATGTCAACTGGTCTAGCCTGGACTCAAACCAGCAAACTTCTGGCTGTGAGGTGACAGTGCGAACCACTGAGCCATCCCTATTAAGTATGCTAACTATATATAGCTATATACTAAATATTAATGATATTGTGACTCTGGATCACAAAACTAGTGGTCTTTACTTAAAATTCCAATGATTTTTATTAATTTATTTTAAAAGGCCTGAAAACGACACATTTTCCAGGTCAGTATATTGGTTCTATTGTATATATTGTAGATGATCCATTAAACTACACAAAACACAAGTAGTTCTCCTCTAACCTCTGGCTGTAAAACCCTTTCTGTAAACCTAAGTTTTTTTACTACACTTGAGTCTCCAAGAAAGTTTCCCTCTGCACTCAATCTCAG